TTAGTAGCTGTTCTGGACCTTTCAATCACATCACACAATCTTCCTCAGCAGATGAAGTTAAAATCTCAGATATTGACGAGAAGTCTTTAGAGATACTTAAACATCTACAAATCCATGACAGTTTGGCAAACTCCATCTGCTGAGGAGGGTTGTGAGCTGCGATTGAAAGCTCCAGAACAGCTACTAAAGGACCTTATGGTGAGATTGTTTTGCCAACTACTTTTCCAGATCAAGAAGGAACTTTTAATCTCAGTTTTTTTTTACTGAGAGAACCAAAAAAGCTTCTCTGACTTTGTAAGCATAAGCAGTCTTTACCCAGATTGTATGTTTCTTAACATCCACTTCAGCTGCAACAAGATATTGATAACTGTCACAGTAAACAAGGTTTTCTACTTAACTCAGTAAATACTTTGGGTAAAAGACAGTGGAGAGAAAAAGTCGGTATTTGCAAGAAAAATGAGTTGTTAAACTATAGTTATTGTGCCTAAAACCTAATTTTTAAAACCATATTTTTGCTCATGTATTTTATTTCATGTATTTGTGTTTCTTGATTCCGATTTTCACCTAATTTAAACAAAATAAACGCTCACAAATTCACATATATACAAATAATTCGCCCTACCTTCACATTAAATGGCCTACTGTTGAGTAAGATCTGATAGAAAACATGATGAAAAATCCACCCTCCTCCATCCTGAACAAAAATGAAGTCTGTCTTTGTTAGTCAGCCTCTTTGTTAAGGTGTTTAATTATATTAGATAAGGATTTCTCACTCGTGCACAATCAATACAGTCTCTTTGTCTGCTGGGTCTTTTGTGTATCTGTGACCGACATGGGAGTAATTTAACATGTCAGCTGTGTTGTCTGACTAAAAAAGACACAGACACAGCGCACATAAAAACACAGACACCATTAACATGTAAACCTCTCGAGTACACACTGCCCACAGCACGTGCCTGAGTGGAGAGTAGTTTCTGCCCTCTGTCCAACACACTCTGTTTGTCACGATGTTGTGAACTTGGGGCCCAGGGGAGTGATAAACCTTGGCATGTGGCACGAGGAAAGAGAATAAAAGAGGGGGAAGAGGAGGTGGTGGAGGATGATACAGTGTGTGCTGGAAAGTGGGGATGTGGGTGGAGCGTTTGGAGAGAATAAGGGAGAAAGGGGGATGGGCGGAGCAGTGTCCAACAGAAGGAGGAACAGATGAGGTGAGAGAAAAGTGGAGGGAAAAAAGACAAGAAGAGTTGAGGAAGGGAACTCACAAAGAACAGAAATGGGGTCATTTCCTCTCAAAAAAACACAGAGCCACGGGAGGAAAAAAACACTCACACCGGAGTTTTAAGAGCAAGCCTTAGACTGAGACATGGAGGATGAAAGATGCACATACTGCAGAGCTAAAATTCACGTCGAGTGCAACTAGAAACACAAACACAGTGAACACTGGTACACAGCTGGATCTGTGTCTCACTGCTCAGGAATGTGCACTCAGTCAGACCACAATGACATCACCTTGCTGAGTCGAGCTACATGCTGTGTTTTTTTTTTTTTTTTACTGTTTATTTCACTTTATCTATAATTTGTTAATGTCAGGACTGGATTGGAGGCAGCGATGGGGAGAAATGAAAAGGAAACAATTAATTTCACAACAGAATATCAGAAAGAAGCATCACAGTGGCTGAGAGAAAAAGTCGAGCGAGGCATTATCTTGACTGTATTGATCCGGAGTTACCTCCATTAAGCCTAATTTGATGGCTGAATTTATAAAAGGGCATTAGGCAAAGACGAGGAGAAGCCAGTTGCCTTGTAAAACATCCTGAAACCACATCAGTGTGCAAGATGGACCGTTGCTGTCAGGTGAAAACCTTGAAGCTTCAAATTTTGTCAGATTTATTCACAGAACTTAATTTGGAAACTGAAGTAGGGAAACTCGCTTAGGTTTAATTACTCTGTTTTGTTTTGTCTTACAACTGTCCTTTGTACAAAACTTTCACAGCCCACCTATACAGCAGACCAATATACATATTTTAATATTTAAATTACTTTATATTATCCTTTATCTTTCTTTGTCTAATTATTAATCTTTATTACACACTAGCCTTTTTAGCACAGCCAACCTCCATTTCACTGCAGATGTAAGATGAGCATTTGACAAGTAAAACCTTTGGATCTTGCGTGTAAAGGGAGAACTAACTGCTGATTATATTTTCTTTGAACCCTCGTGTACTTGAATCAAGTGCCATTCATGAGTGAACAACATCACACTTAACCAACGTTGATCAGTCCCAAAATCCAAATAGGAGCCACTGAAGGATAAATCGAGCAATATTGTATATTTTTCTTTACCTTTAACCTTTATCTTTTACCCCGTCTGTGCCATTCAGCCTCAAGTCATCTACTGAAGATGAAAATCTTTAAAAATGAGTTACCACTATATACTTTTATTTTTAAAGAACCCACATGTTATTTTAGTTTTTAGCAACTGTTACTCAAAGAAGATTAATTAGTGCACTTTTGAGGACTTTTTCCAGCAGATTAAGACACATTTGGTACTATAACGAGTATTTACTGCAACAGGACGGTGCGTGTGGGATTGACTCAAAACAAACTACAGTGCCCACAACTGTGTTGCTCTTTGAAGTGTATTTAGCACAAGCAATGAGGAATAATCAGGCTCTGCCTACACAGGCATTACTTGTTATAGGATCAAATCATTATTGGTTTTGGTCTTTTCCAGAGATTTGTTAATAATAAGAAGTCTGCAGCCTCACACTTTATGATGTACTGCAGAAATCCTTTTTATGTAATAATAATAATAAAGACAATATTAATAGACATTTTAAAAGAAATGTTTGATCACTGTATGATCTGAGCAAGAGTGGCAAAAGCTCGATCACAACCATTGACTGTGAATAATTAGAGGACAGAGTTTCTGGCTTTGTGAAGTGAAGTCCACGGGGAAGTGTCTTAAATGTGAATTATGTCTAATGGCCAGCTGGGGGCAGCTCCATTGGCTGCAAAACAAGAAGTCTGATAATATTGAGTCTTATGGAGAAATCACCCAACTTCTCACAAGTTTTATTAGCTCAGCAAACAGTTTCCTAATGAGTTTTTTAAGAAGTACCTCATCCTTGTGGAATTGTATGTCTTTTATCAGAGAGCAGTTAGTAGAGAGATGACACGAAACAACACACAACAGAGGTTCCTGTCCGCTTCTCAACCAGAGGCGTTGCAGTTCAAGATTGCCTTCTGAAAACTTAGACCACAAGGACAAAAATTAAGACAAATTAGAAAAAAAACAAACTTGGGGCCGTCCTTGTGGTATACATACCAATTAACTGCAACATTACCGGTTTGATTTCTGTTAGTGCGTGGGAGTGTCATCTCCTCTTCCAATGTACCTTATCTATCTCAACCATCTACTACAGAAGTGAGGGGAAAATGCCAAAAGAGCATTTTGAAATTGGTCGAATACTGAAACGTTAACAACACTGAATTAAGCATTCAACATGTCCATGGTTTTCTGACAGCTGTCTGTCACTCCTCAAGGTCTCAGGCATCAGCCCAGTGTTCATTTCCAGCGCAGAGCTCTGAGTCTTCCTTCCAACACATCCTACGCCAACCTAACCGCTCTGCTCACAGTGGCCAGCACCCCCTCGCACATCCAGCATTTCCCCCACCTGCAGGTCCTTAGCGGCAACGGCACAGGTGAGGCTCAAACTGGGGTATGGTAACAGCACAAAGGAGTTCAAGACTCGAGCGTAGAAATAGGGAGAGGAGGGAGAGTCGGGGCACAGATGACAGGGGAGAAGGCAGAGAGGGGGTGGGGAGTGAAGGGAAGAAGCTGTGGTACATCAGAGAGACTCTACCCTGGAGAGGCCTCTCTGTCTGACCTCCTGAAACACAATAACCCCTGTGTGTGTGTGTGTGTGTGCTCTCTGTGCCCGCATCCTTTCAGGTGGTCTCATCCACGTCTTGATGTGTGTTTGTGTGTGTTGTATGAATTTATATGTCCTTTCTCCTTCAGCTCGAATACCCCTCAAAAGCTCCCCCTTCCCACAGCGCGTTCCTTCTCCCTTCAGGCAACACAAGCATACTTTCTGCTTTGTGACACTTTCCACCCTCGGTCTCTCCATTTTTTCACTCTCCACCCTGCTTCCTTCTTTCCTGTGTTTCACTTGTTTTCTTTCCTGTCTGTCTTTCCCCTGACAACTCTCCTTTATCAAAGCTTTTTTTATGTTACTCCCCGCCCCCTGCTGTCTGCTCTTTCTGCTGCTTCCCCCTCCTGTGCACCTTATTCCCACTCCCTTTCCTTTTTGCTCCTTTTCCCTTTCTTACACTCTCCTGCCTCTCTCACAGGGACTGAGAAGAAGTTTGAGTTGACTCCTGTTGCAGCCATCTCTGTTCACTTATTGGCCAGCGACGGAGTGGAGCTGCAGGTGAACGAGCCAATCACGGTCTCCGTCCCCCTGCCGGCTGACAGTGGCCTGAAGGAAAATGATCACATCCCTGCTTGGAGATTTGACCCGCGCTTGGGTATGTACTAGCAGAACCAAAAAAAGCTTTTCTGATTTTGTAAGCATAAGCAGTTTTGGCATCTGCGTATCTGTGTTTGTATATTCCACTTAGCTCTCTGAAAAATGACCTCAACCCTTTTTTAAAAGTGCAGTGTAGTAATATCTTTACCTCCTATGTAAATGAGACCTACTTCCATGGGTGAATGATTTATGTCATTATTAGAAACCACGTGGATACATACAGTGCAGCCACTTGTAGAGTGAGGAATGAATTTATCCAATCATAAATAAATGACCAGTTTACGTTATTTAGCAAATGAAAACGCAAAGATTTGCAGTGGATGCATAATCTGCTGGAGCTCAGTTAAATCTTGAACTGAACTAAAAAATAGCAAAGGGCTCTGTGGAGCTGGCTCCTACAGCAGACAGCCTTCAAGCCTCTCCTGTCCCACTGATTTATTTCAACAATCTTAAATCTGTGTTGTTTGATGTCCCACACTGTGACACACCCAGATCCTCTTGGACAGGCTGAGCTGAAAGACGGTGATTAGATCATCAGTTGAGTCAGACGTGTCTGCACTACAAAACATCTCTTCTCTGTGTACATTAGTCTCACATTTCCAGATCTACTGTATCTCTACATTACGTTTGTCTTGTGGCAGTGCAGCAGAAAGGTCTGTCAGGACCTATTAAAATTCTTCTGGTGAAATAAAATGTAGTGCGTCATTTGATCTAGAGCTGAAACGTTCATTCGATTAATCGCTTAGTAGGGAAACGGAATAATCTGCAGCAACTGGCCACTTGGGGGAAGCAGAAACAAGCTGTGAACACAACATCATCTCTTAAAAGTCCAGAGTGTAGGATTTAGTGGCACCTAGCAGTGTGGTTGTAAATCTCCATCGATTCAACCTCCTTCCAAGACAAAAAGGAGAAACTATGTTGGCTGCGAAATGTGCGAAAGACGTCTGTATCTAGAGCCAGTGTTTGGTTTGTCCCTTCTGGTCTAATGTAGAAACGTGGCAGCCTCCGCGGAAGCCGACCCGCGGCGTCTGTAGACAGATATAGTCTGGCGTCAGGCATGTCATATACTGTAAAGTGTGATAGACTGTCAGATAATGTGACATTTACTCTTGTCATATTGATTCGACACAAATACCAGGAAATCTCTTTATTAGATGACACATTTTCTGAACAGGCTCTGATCAACTGGAAGAGAAAGTCTTTTCCCAATAGACTGAGGCCTACCAAGCCGTCCACATGTGTTGAGTCAGAACAACAAGGATAATGGGCCTGTTGTCAGCGGAATAATAAATATCTTCTACATTAAACATGTTTTAGTCATAATGTGTTTTGAGACTCATATTTCTCTGAATCTACTCGTTCTGAGCAATTTGGCCAATCAGTGTTTCAGTGTTTAAAATCTGGACCAGCTTTGCTCTTGTGATGGTTTTAAGAATCTCAACATCAAAAGGATATAAAAAGGGCTTTGATAAGAGCTGAAAGAACACACACACTGACACACACACACTCTTACACACACACTTACACACACACTTGTAGCCTACGCACAGCCTGTAGCAGCGAGTATTTCCACAACAGAAGCCATCCCCGGACCCCTCTCTCTGGGCTACATCTTGTGTTCCTTAGCAACCCCCCAAATAAATAACACAACAGAAAGGCCTGGCTGCTGATTGAGTTTCTTCACTGAACGGTTAAGTGTGACAAGAGTGTGTGTGTGTGTGTGTTATTTATGTGTTAAACTGAGGATAAAAAACAGACACAAAGAACAAACTTTGAAGTCTGTCTGACTCTTGATTCCTTTTGGAGGAATACTTGAGGTTGATAAAAGCTCCCTCACAGAAAAGCTAGTTTTGTTTACAAAGCGCACACATGGATGACACGCACACAGAAAAAAAACCTGTTTCTCTTGTATAACTGACAGCCTCTTTGTGACATGTTAATAGAGCGTGGGGCGGGGAAATGAATGCAATAAAATACAAGCAATCAAGTTCACGACTGTTTGAAATGTCCATGTGTACAACAGATGAACGTATCTTTGAGGGGTTTTTTTAGTACTATATACATATTGCGTAGGCTTATGCAACAGAAAAGTAATAAGGAGGAAAGGGGGGAGACGAGAAAGAGGGGAATTGCTGCTGCGGTAAGCACCGTAAGACATCGGAGGTGAGCACCAGGTCGCCACCATAACAACAGCAGGGGCGGATTTTACATGATGCCAAATACAAGGCCGCTCATGAAGTGCATCATGCGAATAATCTACGAAGTGAACAAAAAAAGGTGTCAGCTGTGTTGACTCCTGCATGAATCCCCGAGGGAGAAAGCCAAAAGAGAGTAAGTATATAGGTGGCATGAGACGAATATACTACATATAACGTAAAAATTGCTGCACGGGGAGTCAAGCGAGTTGCTGGTTCTAGTCAGCCAGTGTATTGTATGCGACCCCGCGTCACCGAAAGGCATCTAAATGTCTGGTATTGAAGACAGGTCAGTTGCAACCAAGAGAGGAAGAACTCCCCTCTGTCGGAAACTAAGGGAGACAACCCAGCGGTGAATCCTAGGCAGAGCGGCACAGGGTTTGGTGTGTGTATGGTGTGTGTGTGTCAACTTGTGCTGTCCTGTGCCGTATGTGTTGTGTCGTGGTGCGTGTGTGTGTAGAGACGAAGAGAGGACAGTCTGAAGCACACCACAGCCTCCATGTTTCTCAATGTCTCTTTGTGTTTTTA